GCTCTGTCAAAGATGCGCTTGCGGCCATTGCAACGACCTTCCAACTGGCTGGCCTAAGCCCGCCCACACACATTGATGGCTCCAGGAAACACTACAAAAAGCTCCTAGAGCGTCAACTGCGTGGGTACACCAAAGAAGACCCACCCACTGAGCCTCACTATGCTGTTCCAGTTTCCATTACTGAAACAATTTTGGATGAAGCCACAAACTATCAACGTGTTACTCCCTCCCCACGCTGAAAGCAGACTGCCAGGAGCAAAGCCAAAGCTCTTGCCATTGCGGACCTGGTCTGCATAGCTTTCTATTTCCTCCTTCGTGTGGGAGAGTACACAAAACCACCCAAAAGCCAAGGAACGAAGCAAACCATTCCTTTCCGTGTCGGTGATGTCATCCTCAAAGATAGCAACCATCATCGTATACCCCATACGGCGTCAATCCCACTCCTTCTCCAAGCTACCGAAGCCACCATTTCGATCCCCAACCAAAAGAATGGTGTCAAAGGAGCTCTCATCCGTCAAGAATGCACTGGAACCAGATACAGCCCAGTCAAAGCACTAGCACGACGGATTTATCACATTATGAGCAAAGGTGGTGGTCTTGACACACCAATCTACACATACTATATCAGTCGAAATCTGTCCCATTACTATGTTTCTCCAACCGAGATCAACACAACCCTCAAGGACGCTGCTGCCATCCTGCAATTGTATACTCCAGAAATGGGGTACACGAAGCGAGATATTAGCAGCATTCGCTCCGAGCTGGAGGAGCAATGGCCATGCATTTGAATGGTGTGGATCCACTAACCATCCAAATTCAAGGTCGTTGGCGCTCCAACACATTTCTTTGCTATATTCATGAGCAGATTAGTGCCTTCTCCACAGGCCTATCTCTCAAGATGTCACAGCATATTCCTTTTCGGGCAATCACCGGCCCCACACTACTCCAAACTTGTGCCCCATTGGCATAGGGTAGTTTTAAGCTGTATTTAGCAATCCAACGATTTCCTACTACTGAATTCTCTGCTACCACTCTGTCTGTCTACAGCAATCAGAGCTTGTAGCAGTTCATTACTCCAGAGTAGCCTTTTACTCTGCCTGAGTCTACTCTGTCTACCCGGCTTGAGAGTTGCACGTGGAACCTTCCATGGCACGGATCGTTCCAATCCAACTCTCTCTCCGAGCATGGAGCACCATGGAGTTCTCAGCTGTGTCATTGGGGCCAATGGCACCACTTGCACACAGCTGAGGGTTAGGACCAAAGCAATAGTAGCACTAACAGCTCTATAGCCTTGAGCCCAAACCACTTAGTACTCCAGCTCGTAGCTCTAGCCATAGTGTAGACAGGGGTAGACAATAGCCCTGTAGGTTCCTGCAATGTCATTGCTAGCTTGCCCACCTAGCTTTATGAGTCTGGCTATAATCTGTCGTTGCTTTGCGCCAGCATTATAGTCCGAGAGCATAAAGTAGAGGCAAGTGTGCGTCTAAAGAAAGAAAAAGGAACGAGAGCCTCTCTCCTCTTTGAAGAGACTCATTCCTTCTTCCAACGCACCAGAGCAATGGTGAAATGTAACCTACAGAATGGCTAATAGAGCCACAGTACAGTGCTGAGACTTTTTCTATCCCAACCCACCTCACCCTTTGTTTCCTGTAAATGTGGAGTTCTCACAGCTGTGTCATTGGGGCCAATGGCACCACTTGCACACAGCTGAGCGGTTATAGGACAAAGCAATAGTAGCACTAACAGCTCTATAGCCTTGAGCCCAAACCACTTAGTACTCCAGCTCGTAGCTCTAGCCATAGTGTAGACAGGGGTAGACAATAGCCCTGTAGGTTCCTGCAATGTCATTGCTAGCTTGCCCACCTAGCTTTATGAGTCTGGCTATAATCTGTCGTTGCTTTGCCGCAAGCGTTCACAAGTAAGTATGCGATGTACAGCGAGGATGAGTCAGTGCTCTAAACCCCCGTTATACTGTGACGCGTCGAGTCAAGTCATCGGATCTCTTAACCGCACAATAATGATGGGTGGTAGACTGCTATCTGCCACAAACAACATGCGTTGTGAGTACTAGACTACCTCAGATCCTTGCTCATCAGCAACCAGAGATGAGTGAGTCAGAACCTAGCGCCAGTCCTGAATTTTCCCAACCCTGGAGGCGACGATGGAACCTCTCTGCTGGACTCTAGCCAGTCCTCGGCGTGGCAACTCTCTGCCAATTACATGTATTTGCTTTGCAAACATTAGTTTTGTTCGTGGTTGCGCATGGACGTGGCATGGCCCGCAACAGGACCAGCTGCGATAGCAATCTACATTGCATCAGCTGCTAGCTAGCTAGACTGCCACCGATACAGCATTCAACCTGTCCCAATTGCTCTACTACATGTACTTGCTACAAGTATCTAGAGGTCGAGTGGGCAGAATGCTTGACGGCTGATTCGACGACAACTGGTGCGTACCAAAAAATAAACCATCAAAATGAAGTTTGCTGCTGCCATCACCCTCTTCGCTGCTTCTGCCAGTGCTTTCGGCCCCTTCAGTGGTGGAGCGAAGAAGGCTGCTGCCGTTGCTACCCCTGTAAGTTCTCTCATCCTTCCTTTTCAAAGAGTTTGAAGATTTTTTGGAAAACAAACTGACCTTTTTCATGACACGTCATTACAGGCATTCACTGTTGAAACCATTCCTGGAGCTCTGGAACCCATGGGCATCTGGGATCCTCTTGGATTTGCTGCCAAGGCTGACGAGAAGACCCTCAAGCGATACCGTGAGGCTGAGCTCACCCATGGACGTGTTGCCATGCTTGCCACTATTGGTTTCTTGGCTGGAGAAGCTGTTGAGGGATCCTCTTTCTTGTGGGATGCCAGTGTCACTGGTCCTGCCATCACCCACCTTACCCAGGTCCCCCCTCTCTTCTGGGCTCTTTTGGCAACTGGAATTGGTGCTGCTGAACAAAAGCGTGCTGAAATTGGCTGGGTTGAACCTTCGAATGTCCCTGTTGACCAACCAGGCCTCTTGCGTGCTGAATACACCCCTGGTGACATTGGATTTGATCCCCTTGGCTTGAAGCCTGAGGATCCTGAGGAGCTTATGGTCCTCCAAAACAAGGAACTCCAAAATGGCCGCCTGGCTATGCTTGCTGCTGCTGGATTCATGGCTCAAGAATTGGCCGATGGAAAGGGAATCATGGAGCACTTGATGAACTAAATTGGTGCAGCAATACACATTCTTCTGGTGGTTGAGTGGTTCATGATGTGATGCCTCTTTGCCGAGGTTGTACATATGAATGGGTGGCTTCACTGCTGTGGAAGACTGCCGAGGGCAACGAATGCTCAATGGCGAAATGAAAAATAGTCTCACAACCTTTGTACATAAATAGTAATTGAAAGATTACAAGCTTATCTCGAGAAGTCGAATTGATTTATCAGTTCTCTTGGCAGTTGTCTAGCTAGCTAGTGCAGTCCAGATACACCAGGCACTGGAATTGGTTGGCTTCTGAAACTCCTGGCTGTAGCAAATTAATAGACGCACAAGTGCAGTCGCCAGGCATTGGCATGAGTTGCGGGCATCAGAGGTGCAGTACGGTATACGCACCCACACAAGCAAGCCGCCATGTTCTAGCATCAAGGATCCTTCCAGAGATGCCAGCCTGGACTCTCCTATTCTAACAGATACCACGTATCGGTGGAAGATCCACGCCGTGGATCTCCCTTTCCTACATGCTGTAGATGCAATGCACAAGCTCACAATTTCACATCCATTCATCGATCTTGATGGCGTCGTCGGGTGGCCCGTCTTTCTGATTGAGCAAGGGCACCTCTCGAGGTTTCGTGATGCCGCTTGTGCATGTGCTCGTGCACAATGACAAACAAGCTCGCTGTATGCATGTCACCTACAACCAGAGCTGATACTGCCAAAATTGTGCCTGGTAGCTCTTGCACAGAAAATGCCACATTTTGTGCTGGACTCCTTTTCTTCCAGTAAGCGGAGGGTACCAGTACACACTGGGCGCCCACAAAAAACGCAGTATAATCAATCGTCAAAATTCTATGTTTATCGTGTGCATGTCGTTTTGTTGCAAGTTTTCTCTCCTGGAAACACAGAAAATCACGTCCCAACCTGAAGGTCGCACGAAGACAGCTGTTGGTTATTATTTGAAGTTCGAGTGTCTGTGTCCAGCTTAACGGGATAGGTTGTGTGTTGCATCGGAGAGGTTTTTCCTTCAGTTTTCGATCAGCAGATCCCTTCTTCAACAAGAGAAGTCTGGTAAATTTCCTTTTGGTTTCTTCGGCATCATTTCCTTGCTCTGCATTGCATTTATTTTCCTTCTGCTGAAGCCACCGCCCCCAACACTGCTGCCCGTAGAGCCTCGACATTGTAGGTGGGTGTATCAAATGGATGTACCACGTCCAACACTTGCACGGATCCATTCAATTCGTGTTGTACCTGTACTTTGAAGCAAATTCCAGCAGTCCCTAAAATGGCCACCTTGGCTGCCAAGACCCGGATTTCTTCTCCCGCTTCAATGCGTCGAAGCGCATCTTGGGCCAATGCATTGACATCGAGTTGAAATTCGGCCTCGTTAATTAATTGGCGCACGGTTTCACAATCTCCCGCCAAGCCAGGATCGATGCATTCCAATGGAATCCACCAGCTGGGAAATGCTTCGAATCGTTCATCCAACACACACTCATCACCCTTATTCAAAAGAGCCCCGGCCGTGACATCGAGTTGATCCAAATTTCCCAAGACACATCCCTCCAAGTTGTGCGGATCGTCGGAAAAGCACGCCTTTGGGAACGTTACGGGCACGTGCAGTGTCACACAGCCGTGGTCTTCGCAAATGGCAGCTTGAATTTCGATCGAGTCGTCTCGGACGCAAATCACTTCGACATTCAACACGCGATCCAAAGTAATGGCCCGTTCCGGGGGAGAAAATGCCACGGCCAAGCGGGCCAAGTGACCCGCACGTTCGCGATCGTAGCTCAGAGATTCGGCTACTGTCGTACCGGCGGGAGTACAGGAGGGATCGCCACCATAGTCGTTGCTGATGCTGCTGCTGCTGCCCACATCGAGATAGGATGTGACAGCGCTGTTGTCTTCTTCGGGTTGGCCGTCCCAGCCATAAATCAAAGCGGATAGTGACTGTGACGATCGGCTTTTCGGTACAGATACCCCTTGAAAAGCAGAAGCAGAAACGGCCAGGGCTGTCAAGGCGACGAATGCCTGGAGAGATTTCTTGGAGTACATAGTCATGGTTTTCTGTTGAATATAATGATGGTTGTCGTGATGTTTATGATGTTGTTGATTGTGGTATTGCCTCTCAACTTCTGGATTTTATGAGGAAGAGAGCAAACAGGTGAGAGGTGAGAGGTGAGCAAAGATGATGTCAACCGGGCGATAGATATTGGAAAGTTCGACAAGGTTCGACCAGCTGACTGGGATCCAAAGACAGCAAGATACTTAAAAGGCTCCTTGCCCCGATTTGATGGGTGCAGCTTGAAGATCGACATGGCGCAGATCTGACGTTGCCTTTGTAAATCATGCATAGTTCAATCCCATGAACGAAGAAAAAAAAACAGCACAGCAGCATAAGCACGGATACTGTACGGTACGACCACCAGCCAGCAACCCGTGGCTGTGCCGACGGCAGCAACACATCGGAGCCGCTCCGATTCTGGTTCCTTCTGCTTCTGTGACAGATGGGTCCTGCCCAAAGCATCGGAACCTGGGCAAGAAGCCTTCAAGTTCTAGCCAGAAAGAGCTGGCGGTGGCAAGATTGATGGGCTGCACAGCCTGGGCTGGTCAGGCCGACCTGACCTCTCCTCTTGAGGGACGTGCAAGAGACGTCAATCTGCATGCACTCTGGTGCAAATCCATGAATGGAATCAATGCAAGAACAATCCAGTACTGCTAACGAAGAAGAAACATGTGAAAGAGTAGTATGGTAGCCAGGTTAGGTTCAGCTGCAGCCGCCCACGTGGCAAACAAGCTTATAGCAAGAGTCTGATTTAGCCATGGCTGGTGAGCGTCCAGCAAATGTTAACTGTTGTTGGTTGGGTACTCTGTGTATCGGTAACAGGTACCATGGGCTGCAGGGTACCGTACCGGTTAAAGGGTTGTTGATGCGACTTGTGAGCTGATCAGAGCCACCACGAAGCTGTCGCACCGATTAGTCATGTTTACTATAGCAAATACAGTACTATACTACCTCTGTAGCGTGCAAGTACAAATCCTACACGGCTGTAGAAAGCCTACGTGCAATATACATACCTAGTGCACGTAGGCTTTCTACACGGCTGTAGAACGACTACGTGCAATACGTATGTAGCCCTCTACACGATTGCACGTAGGTGTCATTCGATGCGCACGGCGCGCGATCGAATCGAATGAGTCAAATCGAATGAGTCAAATGGAGCGTACGCACCCACGTTTAAGATAACGCATTTTTGCTTTACACCCTGGTTTTAAGATACTTCGAAAGGGTACCTACCGTACCTGCATGTACTTGTACATAATCCCCTCTGGAGCGCATTTGACTAATCACTTTTACGGGTACCACAACTCAAAACATGTGCAACTAGATGCCTTTGTCCAGACTAGCTTAACCCTCCTCCTTCTCCCCTCTGGAGCCCCTTCAACTAATCACTTTTACGGGTACCTAGCCACGAAGACGGAGGACCGAATAGTCATGTTTACTATAGAAAATACAGTACTGTACTACCCCTGTAGCGTGTGGTACAGATCCTACACGGCTACGACACACATACCACACGCTCCGGACGTACCGTGTGGTACAAAATGTACACGGCTACCACACCCTACATACGGAGCGTGTGGTACAAATTCTACACGAACACGACTGACGTCAGTCGCGCGCATTCGAAGAGCGCGCGGTGCGCGCGAATAGGGGAACACTCGCACCCAGGTTTAAGATAACTCATTTTTGCTTCACACACTTGTTTTAAGATACTTCGAAAGGGTACCTACCGTACCCACATGTACTCGTACATAATCCCCTCTGGAGCCCATTTGACTGGTGACTTTTACGGGTACCACAACTCAAAACATGTGCAACTAGATGCTCTTGCCCAGACTAGCTTAACCCTCCTCCTTCTCCCCTCTGGAGCCCCTTCAACTAATCACTTTTACGGGTACCTAGCCACGAAGACGGAGGACCGATTAGTCATGTTTACTATAGAAAATACAGTACTGTACTACCCCTGTAGCGTGTGGTACAGATCCTACACGGCTACGACACACATACCACACGCTCCGGACGTACCGTGTGGTACAAAATGTACACGGCTACCACACCCTACATACGGAGCGTGTGGTACAAATTCTACACGAACACGACTGACGTCAGTCGCGCGCATTCGAAGAGCGCGCGGTGCGCGCGAATAGGGGAACACTCGCACCCAGGTTTAAGATAACTCATTTTTGCTTCACACCTTGTTTTAAGATACTTCGAAAGGGTACTACCGTACCCACATGTACTCGTACATAATCCCCTCTGGAGCCCATTTGACTGGTGACTTTTACGGGTACCACAACTCAAAACATGTGCAACTAGATGCTCTTGCCCAGACTAGCTTAACCCTCCTCCTTCTCCCCTCTGGAGCCCCTTCAACTAATCACTTTTACGGGTACCACAACTCAAAACATGTGCAACTAGATGCTCTTGTCCAGACTAGCTTAACCCTCCTCCTTCTCCCCTCTGGAGCCCCTTCAACTAATCACTTTTACGGTACCCCACCACGGAGCAGTCATTTTTCTTCCTACTAGCTAGCTTCCAAAATTTTGCATTATTTTTATCAGAGAATATTTTATTATTATGACTGTATCACGTAGCACGTGACCTGGCTGTCCCCTGGATCGCTGCGGTCAGTTTGTTGATCCCTTTGCAGCAATGAAGAACGGGTCCATGCTGTCAAGCCTTTGTGGTTGTGTCGACTGTCGGCCAACAAAGCCGCTTCATCTCCTGGTACAGGGTCCAAGCCGTTCAGGACGTTCCAGCATGGCCATGGAATTGGCCGTGGAAATGGCATCCAATGCCGATTGTCACTGTCAGCAGCAGGAGTCGAACAATGGCACGTCAACCAACAACCGACTGTGTCAATGTCGACCAGTGGCTTTGCTTCGAGTTGATTCCAGAGTGAACACGTTCCCACTTCGATGCCATCAACAGCATCATAAACAGTCGTCGTCCGATCTCACGAATGCTGGCAATGGCACTGCATGTATGCATGGAAGCCGCAATACAACCGCCTGGACTAAACAAAGCCTTCGAAAGATTCAAGTGCATCACGCGCTGACTCTGAAATCCTGTCTTGGATTTCTCCTGTCTCTTCAGGGCAAGCCCCACAATCAACAGCCGTATGCTGCCCTCGTCATTGATGACATTGATTGCTTGGCATCTTCATCTGGAGAGAAGGAAAACAATAGCTCCATCAGCCACACAGTTTCACAAGTGTTAGCCATTCTGATGGATACCCTCAATTTCTTACACATGCCTCCAGCAGTCATTTGTATCACAATGAAGAATAAGGATCACAAGTTTCTTTCCACTGGATTTGGAGCATCATTCTTTGACGGCATTGTCACTCTAACTGACCATTCGAAGGCGTCATTGGCTACAGCATCTGTTACTTCCAATTTCAACACGCCATTTTGGAACCGAATTTGTCAAGCAAACTCTGTGGTCAAGCAGGGATCCTCTTGGACGGCACAATTCACACCTAATGGTAGTGGCTTCTCTGACACGGGGGGAAAGAAGAGAGTGGAGTATCTAGTTGTATGCAATGACAGCGGGAACAATCATCGAATATTTTGGGCTTGGGAATAACGCATGATAAGAGAGTAGTAGATACTGGGTACAGTGCAACGAGCGTTGGTTTGTTCCATGGGGCACAACCATAATCAGCAGCTACCTTTGCACAAGGATTGCAGCCCACATTATCGTTCCTCTTCTTTCGCTGTCCAGAAAATACACTCTGAGAGATTGATACTACAAAGAATCATTCGATTCTCGACTCCTTGCCTTCCTGGCCTGGTTGCTTTACCCACGTTGCATCTGCGTGCTACAGGTATGGAAGCAAACCAATACTCCAGAGTGAGGGGCTACCGGTACCGGATTCTAATGAGTGATGGGAACAGACTTAAATTCTTGATCTGAACTGGATTCAAAATAGAACTGGTTATAAACAGCTACCGGAATCTAAATGCGTGATTACTAGTTGACTTTGTTGGTGTATTTTTTGTACATGCATGTATACAACAAATGAAATAGAAGCTCATCAGAATCAGGGGCCAATGATGGCAAGCACCGATTCGAGAGTCATGGCGATGGCGGAAAGCCCAACGACAATTCCAATGGTATACGCTATGTAGCTGTCTCGATTGTACTTTCTCATCAACATGGACATAAGTGTTTGGCCGAGAAGGGTTGCCAGAAAGCCCGTGATGAGACAACCGGCCGCATAATCTTTGAGAAGGAGACCAAAGATCATGTAGCTGATGGTTGAGGTCGAACTAGTGAACAGGATCATGCAGGCCGACGTTGCAGATGCCACGGCGGGGTGGACTCCTGCAATTGTAGCAAGTTATTTGAGGGACATTTGAGCGAAAGGGGCAAAGTCCTTTGTGAAGGTTTTGTCGATGTTGCACTTACCGAGAGCCAGCATCAACGGACCCTTGATGATCCCACCTCCAACACCAAACATACCAGCCACCAAACCAGCAACAATGGCGTACAGTGGGTATCGAATAGTGTTCTCTTCGTCCCAGTCGATCTCGGACAATACAGGGCCGCCGGACTCCATTCTTCGCAGGACGCCATGACGAACAAAGATAGCAAAGCCAATAATCAGGAAAAAGATACCTGCCTCTGTGACCCAGAAGCAGGTGGCTCCACAAGATTGAAGACCCATAGGGCCTCCGCCACTTTCACCGGGTCCGCCCTGAAGGAACATGAACGCCGTTAGAGTTTTGTGTGCCCGTGCTTGACAGCTTTTGACGTGATAAAAATCCAACAAAAAACATACCTTTAGCAAATTCAGGATTGTCACTATCACAAAGAGAGCACTGAGCTGACCCGCAGCAATCCAAGCTTGATGGACCTGGTCCGCTCCGAAAGAAGGCTCGTGAGTCAACGCCTTGACTTTAGCTTGAGGCCTGCGGCTGGCAACAGATCCATAGGTGGACCTCACCACAGACTTGTCCTGGGCCTCCACATCTCCTGGCGCATTGCCACTGGCCAAAAGCCTTACTGCCTCCTTTTGAGCTTTCTCCATTTCTTCTGTTTCTTTTTCATGAAGTTTGTGGGCTTTCTGAAGAGTCTTGTAGGCCGTGGCAGAAAGTAGCACAAAGAGGAGAACCACCAGTACGGTGTCTGGCAAAAGATCGTTCAAGTCCGCTCCAATCAAGGCACCCGCAATGGTCATGGGTTCCAGCTGAATTATGAGGTCCCAATCAATGGCAGGTCGGCTTGGGTGGTCTGGATGCGCCTTTCGAAAATTCAGCAAGTTGTTGGCGAACGCGCCACCAAGGACGGTGACAGAAGCCAACGGAATGGCATGCTTGACAGGGAACTCAAAGATGAGAATAAAAATAGGGACAAGAATACCGCCCCCACCAATTCCAGCACCAGCCGCCAAGATGAGGCCCGTGATGGCACAAAAGAATCCAATATAATCCGGTAACTGCAGAGGAAAGAGTTCCGGGATTGCCTCGTCTTCATCCAAGATAGACGCAAGGAATCGACGAGAGGTTATCCCCATGGAATCGTCCATCATTGCTCCTCCGTGATTCTCACGAAAGCCATGGGTTGCCATCCAGAGGACGCATCCCGCCAAAGAAAAGGCCACAGAGGCTGCAATGTGTTTTCTACTGGATGAATCAGTCATCTTCAAACAAATTTATGAAAGTATGAAATGATGTGAGTTGAGAAATAATATGTCAGCCATCTATATTATACACAGGTAGCTGGAGTTTCGAAGAAGAGATCCAATGAAAATTTTCCCATTTGTGAAGCTGATGGCACCATGCCAACCACGCAAACACACAAGAACCATGCTCGGAGTTGACCTGCAGTAGGAGAAGCTCTGATCACCCCGTCCAATAGGAACATTGTGCACTTTCAATCTCTGCAAAATGTGACGACGATCATCTTGGGCTGACTGGGTGCTGGATGTACCGGTCATGTATCGTATCTTGAAGATTCAAGTTCTGCCTTCATAAATAACTCAATGCAGGAGTCAACAATGTGATTTGTTGCGACCAACCGAAATGCTCCGCCGTCAAGTTTTCTGAATTATTGTTGCAGTAGCTGTTGCAGTTGCTGGTTGGGTTAGACCAACCTCTTGAGACTTTTCGGCAAAATGAGGAAAGAACACTGCAAGCTTCAAGTGATGGTTGACACGCACTAGCTAGTACAAGCACTAGCTAGTACGAGTTCCTAGCTAGCCAGTACTAGTACCTTTCACGACATCACATCATCTTGATTGCTTCTTGATGTGATCCAGGCTTGCATTCTTTATTAGAAAGGATGTCGATGTCATGTCCGGAATGTGCGCACGGCTTGTACTCCAACCGGCTGTCTATGTACAAGTAATTTGCTTCTGAAAGTGCCTGGCGTTCGGGATACCCTCCTTCTATCGCTCAGGCAAACAGTATCTGCCGCATCCCTACCGGAAACGTCGCGCTTGTGGCAGCACTGCTAGGACATGTATGTTGATCCGGAAATGCTGTGGCAAAACTGTGACTTGTTTGTTCATCTTGACAGAAAGACAAGAATTTGGAAATCAATCAAGGCAGGATCAGGCTCTGACGATGAAGATCATGCGTCGAGCACCAACGCTACTATCCAAGATGCCGTGACGATATCAATGGTGTTGTCCACCGCAAGGAAGCTTTATTCATCGATAGCAATATTTATATTGTAATATAAGATTCCCGTATTTGTCTCGTCGTAGTGAATCAATGCGCTCCTCAGAGTTGAATAAGTCGTCTCCTTCACAGCAGATGGAAGTCACAACAAGTCTCTTGGAACCAAAAGGAAACAACCAAACATGGAACATCAAATTATTGCTACAAGCGACACGATAATCATTATTTATCGGTGTTCCATGTGCGCCAACTGGAATTCAAGATCCCTTCCGAAAATTGTTGTTTGCAACTGAGACAAAAGATCCATTCCAATGACGTTGACATCACTAAAGTGGCTTGTATTCGGAGACCGATGGGCTTCCACCGCAGGAAAGTCTGCCATTTCGACAAACAATGATTGGGGGCCACAACGTTCTCGGAATTGTTTCCTATCATCAGGGGCAGCATGGCTTCTTCGCAAATAAAAGTATTGGGCGATCCAGGGTTGCAGAGAAAGATAAGGTTGTAGCTTGGGTAATAATCGGGTCATCGGGTCCAGTACTTTTGTAACGACGGGTAACCACGTTGACCATGAGGCGTTTGTTGAGGCCACAGAGTCGTCCATCCAGTGGGCCACGCTGGTTCTCGGCGTTCGAATCAACCTTTGATAAGTATTCTACCCCTAGTGCTTGGCTGATGCGAGTGTGGAGGATCTGTGAGGTGACATCCGTGAGCAACATGTCCTGCTGATCAGGCTAGGATCGATGTAGTCGGGATTATCGTGGATATCGAATCCTTCGAGATCATCTTTCTTTTAGGAGTTTCGTGGTCCATTGTTGTTTCTGCTTGAGATTGATGATTGTGTGTTTTGACTGAACGAGTGGCTGGATAACGCACCTCTTTTATTGGCCATCCAGCTCCACTCAGTCATTGAACGTACCGGTACCAGTAATCAACCAGAGGAGGCTACACGACAATTTGCACAGAGGAGAGTGGATCCTCCTATTGGATTCATCCCTCCTTGTTATGTCCTAGCTAGTGTTTGGTTGGTTGGTGATTCCTGAGTTGGCACCCATTTTCCTGTATTGCTTGGTAGTCTACATATATTGGTTTTCTTTGCCAAGTTGGATCAAAGGATCCACAATCAACAAGCAACTCTCCAATCTCTCTTCATTGCCAGTCATATACCAGCTTCGCTGGTTAAATTTAGCCTTATCCCTTCTGTGCAACAGCAATCACAGACGCCGTTCGTTGTCGTCTCCGTCTCTCAAGGCCTCTATCGCCATGACTCTAAGCAGAGCAATGTGGAAGCACACTTGCTCCTGCCTGGACTGGTACGTCACCGTAGATAGAGTTAGGGTTTTCACGGGGATGATCAGTCGGTAGGAGCCAATCCAAGCCACACATTGCATGTAGCCACCAATCGAAGAGGACAATGGCGTCCTTTTCTTTCTTTTCTTTCTTTCTATGAACGGCGCTACCGCGATGACACCTACTGGCTACGGCTACTACTGTTACTACTGCTACTAGCCATTGGGTGGAGCTTTGTTGCTCGTTGAACGATCAATCGTTCATTCGTTCGGTCTTTTCGTGTGCTTTTCACGATGACCGTTCTCGGCCATGATGCGTTCACCGTCTGGTGTTTCGCTAGCCACACCGCGATGATGAGTTCACCGACTGGTGCTTCTCTAGCACATCTTGAGCGACACCAACTGGTGCTTCGTCTCCCTTCTTGAGTGACACCAACTGGTGCTTCACTCCCCTCTTGAGTGACACCAACTGGTGCTTCACTCCTTCTTGAGCGACACCAACTGGTGCTTCGTCTCCTCCTCCTCGGCCAACTGGCCCTGGAGTTGCATCGCCTTGGCGTGCTCTACCGCCGCTGTTGTTGCCGTGCGTCCGACTCTAGGGCCATGGTCGATTTTACGCGTTTCGCGATTTTCAACAACAACAACAGAGCGACCCTTAAGTCTTTGCCTGATCGGTCCTAAGTCTTCGTCTGATCGCCCCCCTAAGTCTTGTGCTCCTGGCAAGATTAGTGGCTCCTATGTCTCGGGCTCCTGACAGGATTGGTTTTTCACCCCCGCTTTAAAAATCCAGAATCCGTCACCGATGACGTCAGTCGCCGATGACGTCAGTCGCCGATGACGTCAGTCGTGACCGGACGTGATGACGTCACGTTTCGTGACGTGTTTTCATCCGTGCTTTCGAAAATTTTTAAGTCGATGCATGAAAAGTCCACCGCGCGAAGTCGATGCTTGAAAAGGAGTTGGGGGCCTCTAAGTCTTTGACTTTGCCCTCTAAGTCTTTGTCCCGCCCCCTAAGTCTTCCACCCACCGATGACCTATTGCGCGACGAGACAGGTGGTGGCTTTGGTTGGTGCTCAGTCCAACTGTTCCACACCCAATACCAAGCCACACCACACCCTTGCATGGATATCCTGACAGCATGGTACCTGACCAGGCACTTGTGTCAGAGATTGAGGTTGACTCATTGCAATGGATCCCCAGTTCAAAAGCTACCTGGCTGGTAGCCTTTTGTATTCTTGGATTGGGTTCAAGCCCTGTGCAATCCTACAGCACCAGTACAAGCCTGAGCGACTGTGGTGGTGGCCCTGGTTCCTCCCATTCCAGGCTATGCAGTGCAACACTATGAGGTCATAATCCCAATCCTGAAAGCTTCCACACAAGCCTTCCCTGATTTGGACCACTGCATCCTGCCTCTTGTTGCCTCCCAGTTGCCTGCCTCCCAGTTGTTGCTTCCCTTCCAGTTGCTGTCCTGTTGTTGTGAGTCCTTGCTTTGTCCAGCTCCAGCCCCAGTTCTGTTTGCCTGGTGCTTTTGCTGTTGGTCCTGCCTTTATCCAGTTCCTGACTGTTGTTGCCGCTCCCAAAAGCATTGTTGCCGACAGTTCATTGAGTCATTGAATTGTCCCACCAACGACACTCCCACACTCCTTCCAGCACCATCAACAGCCATGTCTGCTGACCTTCTCGTTCGTGGCAAGGCCCACGAG